TGCCTCTTCCCCTTCCACCATGATTGTAAGTTTCCTGAGGCCTCCCCAGCCACGTGGAACTGTGAATCGGGAACAACAGTTCTTTTGGGTGATGAATGAGAATACGAAATGTGTTAAATGTGGAGCATTTTGGATTTGCAGAAGGGTAGAAAAAACAAAAGAAATTAAATTTCCCTCAAACAAGTTATATCTGGTATCACATCTTTTGTTTTAAGATTCTCATCATGTACTTAGAATGAATTAGGTGACTGTGGGTACAGGGGCCTTCACTTTAGAAGGCCTGTTCTGGTTCTTAACTCACAGATTACCTTATGGTAATTGCTTGTCTGCCTTCCCTGCTAAAAGATAGGCTCCTGAGAACAGGGAAGTATATTCATGGAACATAAGAAATATTCAATAGATATTTGATAAATAAATAAAAGTAACTACTTTGGTTTAGTTTTCTCAAATAAGAAATAGGGCTAATGACACCATCCTTGTCTATCCCATAGGGTTGTGAAGAGTATAAAAAATGAACATCCTTTAACATTGTACAGACATTTTCTATTTTATTTATCGCTCTTATTTTTATTACTATTTTACTACTAATATTCTATTCCATCAATAAAGAGAAAGGAGTGGAATATGTAACTATGGATTAGGAAAAATTAAATTTCAGACATATGAGCTAGTTTTTCCCTCCATAGAAGTCAAGGAAGTAATTCAGCTATGATATTTTTCCTGTGTATGATAAAAAGACTGACTCTTTTTTTGACTGGAGAGATTTAATTTTTGTCTCAGCAATTAGAAATAAGGCTGGATATGACCAGACAGTCACACAGGAAGTGGGACATTTAGTATTGGTCTATAAGAAGGCAGGATTGAGAAGTGCTTCTTTAGATGCCATCTAAATTATTTTAGGCTTAAATTACCTTAATCTCAAGTTATTTCATTATAAAAACAGACACTCATTCGAACAGGACAATTTACTAGAAGGAGTAACTTATAGTCTCCAAAGGCAGAAAGTCAAATTGGGTCTCACAAGGGGCAGGGACAAGAAACTTAAGATGGTTCTCCATCTCTAAGTCTTTTGCTAACACTTTTCTTTGCCCATCTGTTTCCTTTTCTCCACTTTTCTTTTAAGATAGAGTCTCCATTAGTGAATATTTGGTGGAAAATGGCTTCCCTAGCTCTAAAAAGTCTTTCCAGTTAGTGCCCACTCATGACCCATTTCAAGTCTTGGTCTAAATTCCAAGTTCCTGTGAGAGAAAATTGTACTGGTCTAGACTGGTTCAGGACTCCATTCTTGGTCCAGTCATGCATGTAATGGAAAGATGGAGGCTGTCTCCTCCCCTCCTTAAGCAAAGCTCTGAGCAGTTGGAATTCTGAGAAATGGTGGCCATATTCAGGAGTTGGCAACGATGGGACCCTAAATGAAACCAGTTTGAGCCACACTATGCAGCATTCCACAGTTTCACAAACCAAGCTGCACATGAGAAGCACCTAAAAAACTTGACAAAATACTGATCTTGGAGTCCTCACTTCCCAGAACTGCCTCTTCCACCAGGGATTCAGCATCTTTAGGGGTAGGGCCCAGGAATCAGTATTTTTATAAAGCACCCTAGAAGATTACTTTGTGACTAACCTTTGGGAACCACTGCTTTAAAAGACCCAGAATACTGAACAAATACAATGATAAAAAAGGGAAGTTACTCATAAATATGGAGTATTACATACAATACACAAGAAGTTGAGTTTTTTGTTTTGTTTATTTCTTTGAGACAGGGTCTCACTCTGTTACCCAGGCTGGAGTGCAGTGGCATGATCATGGCTCACTGCAGCCTCAACCTCCTGGGCTCAAGCGATCGTCCTGCTTCCACCTCACAAATAGCTGGGACTACAAATGTTCTGGTGATGGTTGTGTAACTCTGTGAATACATTTAAAACCAGTGAATTGTACACGTTAAGAGGATGAATTGTATGGTATGTGAATTATATTTGACATATACTTTGTTTAAAGGCACAGAATGGTCTCATAGCACTTCAGCATGAGGCTAAGGATCTGAATCATGGACCAAGAGGGACCAGATTCTGAAAGCGGCAGGTAGTCTGTCAGCAGTGCACTGGATGTCTGCTACCCCATAGATGAGGATGAATTGTCACGTATTATTTTCCTTTAAGAAGCCCAAACCTGGAAAACTTAAAAGATGAGGATGAATTGTCACGTATTATTTTCCTTTAAGAAGCCCAAACCTGGAAAACTTAAATACTCTATTAGCTTTGTGGTCAGTTTTACTACAGGTCTCCTCGGAGGCAGGGTTACTGAATGAAATGTCTATGAAATGGACTATAGTGGGATCTGTGCTATCAGCTTTCCAGCTGCCGACTTCCCCTTGTACAGAAGCACTTCCTCTAGTTTAATAACAACTGCTCAAAACTTTGCTTTTTCTTTCAGGGAAACTGGTTACTTTCCAAGTGCTTTGGAAAAGGGCAAAATGATAGAGATGATGTTTACAAATGAGCGTTTTCTTCTCATGAAGCAGGATTATAACTAAGCATATGCTTTATTAAAAGGCAGTTTTAATTTCAGAGCATTAATATGCTGTGAAGAAAACCAAACTATCTCCCAGTTCTGTCTGTCTGGCTTTCAAGTCCCCACAAAAGGAGCTGCCATCATGCTTATCTTGGCTGTTTGGCCCATTCAGTGTTTCTACTAAAGTAGTCACTTCAGGCCCCGAACCCTCCTGCCCATGAAAAACCCTGGGTCTTCATGAGGGTTGCTCTAGGCTCCTGGGATCACCTCCCTCCCACTCACTCTCCCAGTCCCCTGCATCCTGCCACGTTAGTTCCAAACTTGCCCCTCACTAGTCTAGGCCACACTGATTGCTTTTCTGAACAAATATAGTCTCCTGTGTTACATGTCAATCTCCCCCCACTAAATTGTTAGGTCATTGAGGAGCTGCACCTTACAATTCCACATTCCAGAGTTTCACTGAAGTTGTTCTAGTACATTCTATTCCTTAGATTCAATTCTTTGTAAAATGGATTTAAAGTTTCAAACAAGTAGATTTGGTATCTTACACCAAAAATTTGCCTTAATTACAAGGCTAGGATAATTCTGCTCCAGGCCTAAACCTTTTAATGTTTTCTATCATAGTTCCCAACCAATTCCTACCTGTCCAAGAGTGATAATAGGAAATTACCTTGTTTTCTCTGCAAGCCAGAATCTCTGAATTGGCAGGGCAGGCAAGGCCCTTTGTAAGCTGCCACTGCCTTGTGCTAAAACAAAAAATATTTTTTGCTGGACTCACTAAAGTCAGTGTCACAAAACTGGGGTCTTCAGAGTATATCTCCAAGGAAAAGAACCTAAGTCCCCTGATTTAAATGCTATTGTGTATTTATGAAAGTTTTCTCCCTCCCTGCACACCCCTCATCCTTTTTTTGGGACAGTCTTGCTCTGTTGCCCAGGCTGGAGTACAGTGGTATGATCATGGCTTCCTGCAGCCTTGACTCCCTGGGCTCAAGTGATCCTCCCACCTCACCTTCCTGAGTAGCTGGGACCACAAGTGTGTGCTACCATGCCTGGCTAAGCTTTTCTTCTTTTTTTTTTTTTTTAGACAAGAGTTTTGCTCTTGTTGCCCAAGCTGGAGTGCAATGGCGCAATCTTGGCTCACTGCAACCTCTGTCTCCCTGGTTCAAGCGATTCTCCTGCCTCAGCCTCCCGAGTAGCTGGGATTACAGGCACATACCACCATGCCCGGCTAATTTTTGTGTTTTTAGTAGAGATGGGGTTTCACCATGTTGCAGGCTGGTGTTGAACTCCTGACCTCATGATCCACCCACCTTGGCCTCCCAAAGTGCTGGGATTACAGGTGTGAGCCACTGTGCCCGGCCAGCTTTTCAATTTTTTGTAGAGATGTAGTCTTGCTACATTGCTCAGGCTGGTCTCAAACTCCTGACCTCAAGCAGTCCTCTTGCCTCAGCCTCCCAAAGTGCTGTGATTATAGGAATGAGCCACTCTATCCGGCCTTTTTTTCCCAAACCTCACACACATAGATGCATAATCAGGAGGCAGACCACAGGTCAGCTGCCTTCTACCATGCTGCTGGAATTAATACAACAAAGCTCTCAACCAGTTTTATTTTTCCTCACCACAATGAACGGAAGAAAAAGGCAGAAACAAATGGTAGGGTCATTTGCTAGTAGAAAAGAAAGCTGGGATTCCCCATTTACTTTGGAAACTGAGGAGAAAAAACTGCTTTCCCCACTCGTGTCTGGGCAAAGGGTGTGCCCAGATGTTGGCAAAGGAGCCGGACAAAATCGACAGCCAGCAGTTTTCTGTTCCAAACAATTAGCTCCTCTACAGTCCAGAGGGAAGCTACTCCTGAGGTCACTCAAGGTGACAGCAGAAGTGTTTCTCTTTCTGCTTGGCCCAACTGTGCCTGAGGGCAGATGGATCCAGACCTTATAAACATTCAGCTAGGTGTAACATAACCAGAAAGGCTGAAGGAAGGCTCTTGGCCTTCCCAGCTTGAGAAGCAGAGGGCCTCCTGTGTACCTGGTGGTCTGCAGAGCCCAAAGCAGAGAGCTATGATGAATAAAATATTTTTATTGCTTTTCTAAAATAACTCCTTTCATATACAAGGATTCCTTCAGGTAGGTCCTCTATTATCCTAAATGCTCTTTGGTCATGAGCAGGTGAGGATGTATTTAGCCAAGATAAGTGGCTGCCTCAGAGTTTCCCACAGGGAAAATTGAAATCTGATTATTTTCTTTTTTTTTTTGAGACAGAGTTTCGTTCTGTTGCCCAGGCTGGAGTGCAGTGGCCGGATCTCAGCTCACTGCAAGCTCCGCCTCCTGGGTTTTTACGCCATTCTCCTGCCTCAGCCTCCTGAGCAGCTGGGACTACAGGCGCCCGCCACCTCGCCCGGCTAGTTTTTGTATTTTTTAGTAGAGACGGGGTTTCACTGTGTTAGCCAGGATGGTCTCGATCTCCTGACCTCGTGATCCGCCCATCTCGGCCTCCCAAAGTGCTGGGATTACAGGCTTGAGCCACCGCGCCCGGCCGAAATCTGATTATTTTCTTTTCTTCATGTAGTCTCTAGTTTGAGAACTCCAAGTAGTAAGAGGCACAGGATAAGGATGGGAGAGACTGAGCATTTTTGAGAGGATACTCCTCTGCTGAATGCCACTCTGAAGGGAAAGAAGAAGTCAAATGGCAATTTCCAGTCCATTTTCGGTTGGCCCCTTGGAGGCTCTGGCTTCTGGGTAATGTCCACAAAGTTCACAATAGTTGTCAAAGATACTTCTGTAACTTGTTGAGAATCCTACAGGAAGAAAGTCAATGACAGGTCAGCGCTTGGTACCCATTCATATAGCACTCTAACTTGGCTATTATCATTACTTTTCCTGAAGAGAGAAATTAATTATTTTAAGCAAGATATACCTTTATCTCATATTGGTCCTATGTATTTCTCTTTCAGTGAGACACAAGGAAATGAATATCTTAGCAACAGTCAACGATAGCAGAACTGAACAGTTAACACCTACCCAAACCCTGACTCTAGCTTCCCTTAGCTGGGGAGCTGCCTGATATCAGAGAGGCCACATGGCAAAACTGCTACTCTTACGTGCTTAGCAGCTCTACTCTATCAGAAGCCTCCAGGCTCTGAAACAGTACATATGTACAAGTGGAAGTAGTAGTAGCAATTCTATTCCTTCTCAAATGGCAGAAAGAAAGGTCACTCACAGACTCTCAGGGTTGGAAGGATCTTTCCAACCACCCACCAATTCATGTCAAATAAAACAGATGTTCCTAGAAGGGATCTTGTCAGACTGACTCAAGTATCTGACCTAACAGATGTAGCTTTGGTAGATATAGCAGCAGCCTGATGATGTCTGGAATCATGTTTATCTAAAATGAATTCCCTTTGTTTTGACTTAGCTCAACAAGCAAACTTTTGATTATAATTTTTGGACAATAAAGAATTATTTTGTTAAACTTGAAAATTTTCTTCATTCACCGTCCTTCACTCTGATGAACATATTATGCATTTGCTGTGGTCTTTGGCAACAGTAAGTACCAAGCTCTGGGAACATAATTTTGCTTGGAATAACTCTCCTAGGGACTACCACTTGTTTGTTTTTAGAGACAGGATCTTGCTCTGTCACCCAGACTGGAGTGGAGTGGTGCAATCATCGCTCACTGCAGACTTGACCTCCTGGGCTCAAGTGATCCTCTTGCCTCAGCCTCCTGAGTAGCTAAGACTATAGGAGTGCACAACGACACCTGGCTAAAATTTTTTTTTTTTGAGATGGAGTCTCACTCTGTCACCCAGGCTGGAGTGCAGTGGCACAATCTTGGCTCACTGCAACCTCTGTCTCCCAGGTTCAAGCGATTCTCGTGCCTCAGCCTCCCGAGTAGCTGGGATTACAGGCACCCACCACCATGCCTAGCTAACTTTTTTGTATTTTTAGTAGAGACAGGGTTTCATCATGTTGGCCGGGCTGGTCTCGAACTCCTGACCTCAAGTGATCTGCCTGGCTCAGCCTCCCAAAGTGCTGGGATTACAGGTGTGAGCCACTGCTCCCGGCCTGGCTAATTTTTATTATTATATTTTTTTTGTAGGGGCAGTTGTCAGTGTTGTCTATAAGTTGATTTAATCAATGTGCTATTCTAACTCATTTCAGAGCCAGATGCATAATATGTGCATCAGAATGAAGGAGGGTGAATGAAGAAAATCTTCAAGTTTAACAAAATAACTGTTTATAGTCCCAGGAAAATTTCCATGTTCATTTTGCTATGTTGCCCAGGCTGATCTCAAACACCTGGCCTCAAGTGATCTTCCTGCCTCAGCTTCCCAAAGTTTGTTTTTAAGTGGGTCTGGAGTTAGTCCCCTTGCATTCAAATTCTTTAGTTTTTTTTTTTTTTTTGAGACGGAGTCTCACTCTGTCGCCCAGGCTGGAGTGTAGTGGCGCGATCTCGGCTCACTGCAAACTCTGCCTCCCAGGTTCACGCCATTTTCCTGCCTCAGCCTCCCGAGTAGCTGGGATTACAGGCACCCACCACCATGCCTAGCTAACTTTTTTGTATTTTTAGTAGAGACAGGGTTTCATCATGTTGGCCGGGCTGGTCTCGAACTCCTGACCTCAAGTGATCTGCCTGGCTCAGCCTCCCAAAGTGCTGGGATTACAGGCGTGAGCCACCGTGCCCGGCCTTTTTTTTTTTTTTTTTTTTTAATTACATAGTAAGGCTCATGAGGGACTTGGCATAGGATTAATACAACTTCTGAGGCACTGAAAGAACCATATACATTACAAGGATGGCCAGCCCAGGCTGAAGCTGCCGAGGGATTCCTAACTCCGGCCAGGCATTGAAGACTGGCTGAGACTAATCAGAGAAAGAAAATGGGTAAGAACTTATTCCCTATGAATAAGTAATAAACTTTCTTTTGATTTAAACTTACAAAAGGATTTAGTATTAGGACTTTAGTTTTCCTTCAGGAATTTTATAATGGGGAGAGGACATATATTCAATTTTTGGAGCAAATCTTCACAGCTGACATTACTGAAGCATGTTAATATTGTTATGTAAACCCACTGCAAAATGCCTGGTGACCTATACTGGCTGAAATGGTGAGAAATACTTTGGGATGGGAAATGGAATAGGGAATGATTTTTCAGCTATGGGTTCAGTGTCATCTAGAAGTTGATTGAATCAATGTGTTATTCTAACTTATTTCAGGGCCTTTAGGAGGGGGGCAGATTTGAAACTGCCCACTAGCAGTCCCAGGAGAATTCCCAAAGGAGCTGTGGTTGGAATTGGGATAGTGATCTCATGATGGAAGAGTGTGGTATTGAACATTGCTATATACCCAAATCATATCCACCTAGTGTTAATTAGTAATAAAACTGATATCTGATTATCTTTATCTGACTCCTTTTAATTGGTTTCAAACTTAGGCAGGGAAAAAGAGTATCATTAGCCTCCTCGAACTCCCAAATCAGGGAATTTCTGTAGCCTTGAGGTCACCCCATACTCAGAATTGAACTCTAATGTAACTATTAACCCAAGAAGGCAACCTTTAGGCCAATGTCTGCTCAAGTATATATATTAATATCTTTATAGTGGTGTTTCAGTGGCAGAGAAACCCCACATGACAAACATTGTTCAAACTGAGTTGTTCTTTCAGAGGCACCCAGAATATGTGCTCATTAAGAGCTACTACTAGATTTGAAGACAGCAGCATAAAGACGTGTCTTCCCCCTCTATGTCTTCAAACCATTCCAATCCAACAAGAAACAGATACAAAAACTCCATGTTCACTGGAATGGGGAGACATCATAATATGCAAAACCAGAAAGCAGATGGCAGCAAGGTTTAACAGAGGGAAAGAAGGCCAAGCCTGAAAGTTTTCAGAGACAAGACACAAGCAGATTTTCTCTGTGGAACTCTCAAGACTCAGTGACAGGAGGTAACAGAGGAAGGGTGAGGGATGGATGGAAAATCATTACTAAATAATATCCCTTCAATGCAATCAGGCAACTATTCCTTTTCCCCCTCAACAAGAGACTAAACAACTTAAGCCAGATAATTTCTGGACTCAGGGACATTGGGCATAGAGAAGGTCAGAGTGAGGCATGGAACGAAAAATGGAGAATTATCCCTTCTCTAATTTAGCTCTAAAATGCTTATGGATAACTGCTCCACAGTGAAGGCCACAAGTCAGTCAGTGTCACCCACAATCACAGAGCTTTCAGTCAGCTTAACAGCTTACTCTTATTTTGGATAGAGAGTTGAAGATTGACAAACATGGGGAAAGTTTCTCACAATAAAGAGAAAACCGTACCAAATGAACAGAATAAACAACTCAGAGGAAACACAGACAATGAAAGATGAAGATGCAAAGTTGTTAGTATCTTCAGGGATACATGAAAAAAGATATTATGAAAAGAAACAGAATAAGGAAGAGCTTAGGTATTAAAAATCTGACGGCCAAAATAAAAAATGCAGTAAAAAGGTTAAAAGATAAAGTTGAGAATCTTTTTTAGGATGAACAAAAAGATAAGGAGATAGACAACAAGAGAAAAGAAAAAGAAATAGAGATTCAATCTAGCGACACTCTAAGAGATGAATAGGAGTTCCAAAAAAAAAAGAGATCGGAGAAAAGAGCGGGAAGGCCGGGCGCGGTGGCTCAAGCCTGTAATCCCAGCACTTTGGGAGGCCGAGACGGGCGAATCACGAGGTCAGGAGATCGAGATCATCCTGGCTAACACGGTGAAACCCCGTCTCTACTAAAAAATACAAAAAACTAGCCGGGCGAGGTGGCGGGCGCCTGTAGTCCCAGCTACTCAGGAGGCTGAGGCAGGAGAATGGCGTGAACCCGGGAGGCGGAGCTTGCAGTGAGCCGAGGTCTCGCCACTGCACTCCAGCCTGGGTGACAGAGCAAGACTCCGTCTCAAAAAATAAATAAATAAATAAATAAATAAATAAAAAAGAAAAGAGCGGGAAGGAAATTATTAATCATGTGATAATAATAGAAAATTCTCAGAACTGAGTTTCAGAGTAAAAAATTTGGTATAATCAATGAAGAAAAGATCTACTCAAGGTATAAACTTGTGAAAACTTCAGACTATCAAGAATAAAAAGATCTTAAAATGGCTTCTGAACAGCAATATTGGAAACTAGAAGAAAGAATGCCTTCAAAATTTTAAGTGAATCCGGCCACTGCACTCCAGCCTGGGCGACAGAGCGAGACTCCGTCTCAAAAAAAAAAAAAAGAAAAGAAAATAATTTTCAATCTAGAATGTTACATCTAAACAAATGATCATTTTAAGCATAATGATGATGATGATGATTGAATAAAGATACTTTCAGACAATGTGAACTAAAGAAAAAAAATACTTTACATGCATCTTCCCCTCAAAATTATTAGACTCAAACTCCATAAACACAAGAGAATAAACCAAGAAAAAGGAAGAAGTAGTTCCAGTAAACAGTGAATCAGTAAACTAAACAAGTTAAGAATAATACCCTAGTTGGCAGTACAAGAAAGTCCCTTGACAACTGCAGGGCAGCAACTAGTCCACACTACATCAGGTTATGGGGTTATGGGGGTCTCCATGAAGAAAATATGTAGGAAAATGTGGAACTGATAGATAATATGGCACGTTCAACTGTTTGAAAAACTGCATTGAGAGAAATTTTACAGAGCTGTTGAACAGTGTGAGAAGCCTTAGCTATTAGTTCAAAGAAAACTAAGAGTGAAATAGGTAATTGTTAATTTCAGAAAATTGAATACTTGCTGCAGCATGCATATTTACATAAACATCATGATGAAACATTGAATACTGATTTAATAATTTGATGCAAATACACTGGGAGAGTGGTGGGAAGGGTAGGAGGAAAATAACAGAGCTGAACTGACCTACAAAAATAGAAAGTCAATACATTATCTCAGAAACAGGTAAGTCAAGGATAACTAAGTGTTCAACGGCATAGTAGGGCGACTATATTAATAACAATATATTGTGTATTTCAAAATAGCTAGAAGAGGAGATTTTAAATGTTCCCAACCACAAAGAAATGACAAATGTTCAAGGTGACGGGTATCCTAAATACCAATTTGATCATCACATAGTGTATGAATTTATCAAAATAACACATGGATCCTTGACTCCTTCCCCCTCAACCTCCACATCTACACAGTCAAGTCTTATCTGTGGCATCTCTAAATCTGAATTCTGTCACTTCTCAAAGCCCTCCAAACTCCCACCCAAGTTCAGGCCTTCAGTATCTACTGGTGAATTTCTACACAGATTAGAACTGATCACCTCAGCAGTACCTCACACCTTCTATGGATGATGTCTGTCCGCTTCACCTGTCTATACCTAGTTCCAGGCATGGTACTTGGCACAGAGTAAGCACTCAATAAAGATTTTTTTTTAAACAAATGAGTGGAGATATTTTTTTGGAGGTAGGGAACTAACATAATAAGAGATTAACAAATCACAAAGTAGAAAGTATGTCACAGCTATTTAAGAGTTAGCAATTACAGATCTATTTGATACTTTTTCCTTCCCATCACATGGTAATTAGGATCTTAATGGTTGTGCTTAATTAATTAATGTATTTATTAACAAATATTTCAAATGAAATGCTTATTCTGCATTTATTTTAAAAATTGCTTCCATAATTGTATAGAAGTTTGGAGTAAATGCAGCTTAGTAGATAGTCCAATTAAAAGAAGCTTAAATTGCACTTACTAGGTAACCAGGTAATACTAAATGTTACTGACCTATTTTATTTTATTTTTATTTATTTATTAAGACAGAGTGTCACCCCGATTGCCCAGGCTGGAGTGCAGTGGTGCAATCTTGGCTCACTCCAGCCTTGACCTCTCCTGGCTCAGGTGATTCTCCCACCTCAGCCTCCCGAGTAGCTGAGGTTCAGGCATGTGCTACCTCGTGTAGCTAATTTTTTGTATTTTCTTTTTTTTAGTAGAGATGGGGTTTTGCCATGTTACCCAGGCTGGTCTCAAATTCCTGGACTCAGGCAATCCACCCACCTCGGCCTCCCAAAATGCTGGGATTATAAGTACGAGCCATCACGCCTGGCCTATTTTATTTTTTGAGACAGGGTCTCACTCTGTCACCCAGGTTGGAGTGCAGTGGTACAAACACGGCTCACTGCACCCTCGACCTCTTAGAATCAAGCAATCCTCCCACCTCTGCCTCCCGAGTAGCTAGGACTACAGGTGCATGCCACTGTGCCCAGCTAATTTTTTGATGTTTTGTACAGATGGGGTCTCACTATGTTGCCTGGGCTGGTCTTGAATTCCTAGGCTCAAGTGGTCCTCCCACCTCAGTCTCCCAAAGTGCTGAGATTACAGGTGTAAGCCACTGCACCAGCCTATTGATCCGTTTTAGATTTTGAGTTTTAGTATCACATGAAGAACAAGGTTCTTTGAGTATATTCAGTGTGTTTTATTTTGATTCTCAAGTCTAAAGTTTTCCCATTTGTGTTTTAAAAGTTATAGATATGCAAAATTATACAATTCACTGTTTATTTAGTGTGTGCAACAGGAAGAGCATTGGGGAAAAATAACTCCCTCAAAATCTGGTCACCTCATTTCTTTTATCAAGACAGACAAAAGATACATAGCCCAGTCAATACATTTCATTTACTGTGGGTCCAGTTCTGTTATGTATGGTTGACTTACTTTATTTCTACTTTAAGCTATAATATTTCATGATGTTTACTTAAGAAATTACCACCAGCAATTTTGTTTTAACACTTTGTAAAGTTCAGGTGGTTATTTGCTTCAATTCAATCTACAGTACAATAAAATCCTTTGTACCAAAATAAGATTTACTTTGTAACAGCATGAAGAGCTTGGATTAGGTTACGTTAGGCTTTGGTAATAAGAAGTACACCCAATAGGCCGGGCGCGGTGGCTCAAGCCTGTAATCCCAGCACTTTGGGAGGCCGAGACGGGCGGATCACGAGGTCAGGAGATCGAGACCATCCTGGCTAACACAGTGAAACCCCGTCTCTACTAAAAATACAAAAACTTAGCCGGGCGAGGTGGCAGGCGCCTGTAGTCCCAGCTACTCGGGAGGCTGAGGCAGGAGAATGGCGTAAACCCGGGAGGCGGAGCTTGCAGTGAGCTGAGATCTGGCCACTGCACTCCAGCCTGAGTGACAGAGCGAGACTCCATCTCAAAAAAAAAAAAAAAAAAAAGAAGTACACCCAATATATTACATCTGTATGATCAAAATTTTTAAACCATTATATGTTAATACCCTATGTAAAATCGGTACAAATAAAAACTATTCAAGAAAAAGTTGTGGATACTATCTTTTAGGTGTGTTTTTGTAGCTGCATTCAGACTATCAATTATAACAAATTCATCTTTGGTACAAGTGTGTAACTCATTAATGAGCTGTAAGTGTTCCTTATTTTACATATACAAGAACTTTATCAGACACATATATTACAGACTCAGGCGTGTGCCACCTTGCCCAGCTAATTTTTGTATTTTTTTTTAGTAGAGGCAGGGTTTCACCGGGAGGCTGGTCTCAAACTCCCGACCTCAGTGATCTGCCCGCCTCGGCCTCCCAAAGTGCTGGGATTACAGGTGTGAGTCACTGTGCCTGGCCTCTCATGTTTTCTTAAATGTCTTTTTGTTTGGTTTTAATATTTTTATTGAGGTACAATTTATAAACAATAAAATATATACATCTTAAGTATTTAGTTCAATGAGTTTTGCCAATTATATATGCTTCATAGCCAATACCCAAAGCAAGGTCTGGACTTTGTCCATCATTTCAGAGGTCCTTCGTGTCCCTTTCTCAGAAGTAGCCACTTTCTGACTTTTATCATTAAAGATTAATTATTATTATTATTTGTGTGTGTGTGTGTGTGTGTGTGTGTGTGTGTCTGGCTTCTTTCCCTAAAGATAAATGTTTCTGACATTCATCTATGTTGTTTTGTGTATCAGTAATTCATTCTGTTTTACTGCTAAGTAGTATTCCATTGTGTGAATGTATTGTAATTTGCCCATTCTCCTCAAGATGGATATTCGGGTTGTTTCTAGTTTTGAGTGAGTATGAATAGGGCTGTTATAAACTTTCTTGCACAAGCCTTTTTTGGGGCATATGTTTTAATGTTTCTTGGGTAAACACCTAGGAGTAAAATTGCGGATTCATACGGAAGATGCATTTGTAAAAGTTTAGACCAATTTTCATTTCTACTAGCAATGTATGAGAATTCCAGTTATTCTACGTTCTTGGAACATGATTGTCAGTCTTTTTTGTTTTAGCCATTCTTGTGGGCATGAAGTAGTAGTGCACGGTTTTAATTTGCATATCTCTAATGATTAATGATGTTGAATACCTTTCCTTGTTTATTGATCAATTGTTTATCTCATTTGTGAAGTATCTGTTCAAATCTTTTTTTTATTTGTTTTTATTTTTTTTATTTTTAAGATGGAGTCTTGCTCTGTAGCCCAGGCTGGAGTGCAGTGGCGTGATCTCGACTCACTGCAACCTCCGCCTCCTGGGTTCAAGCAATTCTCGTGACTCATCCTCCAAAGTAGCTGGGACTACAGGCATGCGTCACCATGCCCGGCAAATTTTTGTGTTTTTAGTAGAGATGCGGTTTCACCATGTTGGCCAGGCTGGTGTCAAATTCCTGACCTCAAGTGATCTGCCCACCTCAGCTTCTCAAAGTGCTGGGATTACAGGTGTAATGGTCCTGTGGGTATCTTTCCAAACAACACAGGAACTAAAAAATGTAATTGAATGTTCTCATTAATACAGTTTCTGGTAACCTGAGTGTTGACCCCATTTCTAGGTAAAGAGAAGTAACTTGCCCACCCCTGTTGTGAGGGAGACTCAAAGGTATTTTACTTCTGACCTAAATGTAGTCTCAAGTTTACTTCATTTCTGGGATGTAAGTACAGTGCAAGGTAAGAATTTAAATCTGTTTGATTTTCATTATAAGTTACTAAATTGGCATGCCAGTTTATATGTGAATAATTTTACTAGGACCTAGTCATTTCTAAGTAAAATGAAAATACCGTGTTTTTAAACTTCTATAGCTAAGGATTGGTTCAAACACCAAGGCAGATGCTAAAGCTCTCCTAAGGCACATAATAAACAATAGGTATATGTTTGCTACAGATTAAAAGTGTTCAGTTAATGGGGCAGATACAATTAAGAACTGGTGACTATAAACTAGTCACAGCGGTAACTTTAATCACAATCAACAGACTCAGGGACTCATATAACTGTGTGGCTGACAGACTGAACAATTATGGAAGGTGTTTTCTGCGGTTGAATCAATCAGAATAGTAATAATGGTGGGATTACTGAAAAAAAATTAACCTGTACTATAATCTGGGGTCAGATTTTTTTTTTAAAAAAGGATATAAGCTGTATTCATGACAACACGTTAATTTCAGTAATCAGGCAGGGCGCATAGACTTGACAATTAATTATGTCAGCTCACTTTAAACAAACATTGGTTGCTAACATAAATTGACTCTTGGAAGGTAAAAAATGATTTGGTTAACAAATGGCTGATAAAACAATCTAGGCTTTGCAAGGCTTAGTGGTCCTTTATGAGCCATGACTTACCCGTATGGACTGGCACTGGTATAGGAATCGAACTCCTGATACATGAGCTTGCGGGTTAGACAGGAGACCTACATATGCCCACAATACCTGGATCTCCAGGGAAACTGGTATGAGACAGCAGGAAGTACAGTTGATAGCCTGCAGAAGGGTAAAGAAGCATCTGCTTGAATTGCCTGATGGTTGCCTATAGTCAATCACCATGCATTAAGCCATTGTTTCTCAAGCATTATTCAGTAATAAGGAAGGCAAAGTAGCTTAGTGGAAAAACACAAAAGTTCACAATAAGACTATGTTATTATTCCTGATCTTTTTTTTTTTTTTTTTTTAGACAAAGTCTCACACTGTCGCCCAGCTGGAGTGCAGGGGCGCAGTCTCGGCTCACTGCAACCTCTGCCTCCCAGGTTCAAGCGATTCTCCTGCCTCAGCCTCCTGAGTAGCTGGGATTACAGGCATCCACCACTACATCTAATTTTTTTTTTTTGTATTTTCAGTACAGACAAGGTTTCACCATGTTGGCCAGGCTGGTCTTGAACTCCTCACGTTGTGATTCGCCCGCCTCGGCCTTCCAAAGTGCTGGGATTACAGGCGTGAGCCACCACGCTTGACCTTTGATCTTTTTTTTTTTTTGAGATGGAGTCTCGCTCTGTTGCCCAGGCTGGAGTACAGTGGTGTGATTTCAGTTCACTGCAACCTCTGCCTCCTGGATTCAAGCGATTCTCCTGCCTCAGCCTCCCCAGTAGCTGAGATGCCTGCCACTACATCTGGCTAATTTTTGTATTTTTAGTAGAGACAGGGTTTCACCATGTTGGTCAGTCTGGTCTCGAACTCCTGACCTCAAGTGATCTGCCTGCCTCAGCCTTCCAAAGTGCTGGGATTACAGGTGTGAGCCACGGCACCTGGCTTCATTGATTAATTTAGATAAGTTACTGAGTAACTGGCTTGAGCAGATCATGTGGCTAAAGTAAAGGACTTGAACACAGGAGCAGTGTAAAGTCAAAGAAGATGATACCTAAGGGTTAGATTATGAAGTGCATCCAAGTAGTCTGTTTGGAAGCCATCAGAGAACCTCGAAAGTTTCTAGAATAGAAACATGGTATACCTAATGCAGTACTCCAGGAGGATTAATTGCAAGATGCAGAAAGGCATATCATTCTATACGGTTTTGATTTTTAACCAGATAATGCATTTTCATGCAAATGATTGTAAAAATATAAATTTTTATAATTACAACAGAAAGAGCACAATTTTAACCTCATGAAAGTCTGTGCTGACCAAATATTCAGGAATATAAAATATTTGAAATACATGATGAGATTTTTGAACAACAGAAATCTGTAGATTATCTGCCTTCAAATTTTTTTCTAAATAAGGAAAATACATTAGATATTTTAAACCTAACCTGAAATTACTTCAGGCTGGGAACAGTGGCTTATGCCTGTAATCCCAGCACTTTGGGAGGCCAAGCAGGAGGATCACAAGGTCAGGAGTTCAAGATCAGCCTGCCCAATATGTTGAAACCTCGTCTCTACTAAAAATACAAAAATCAGCCAGGTGTGGTGGCAGGCGCCTGGTAGTCCCAGCTACTGGGGAGGCTGAGTGAGGCAGGAGAATCCCTTGGACCCAGGAGGTGGAGGTTGCAGTGAACTGAGGTCACGCAACTGCACTCTAGCCAGGGCAACAGAGTGAGACCCCATCTCAAAAAAAAAAAAAAAGGGGCTTTGAGTGGGCATGATTTCTTATACTCTTCCTTCTATGACAAACGCATTATTTATGGAGACAAGGCTGGTTTTAAACTTACTATCCATGATTTACAAAGGGGTAAAAATGAGTCTTCAACAGAAAGTGTATTTCTCTCCTTACTGAAATGTTGCAGTGCCTGTTGAGGATCCTGGTCCACCCTCCTTTCTGGGCTGGGTCAGCATTACCAAAGATGGCAACATGCTGCGGTCTGGGCCTTCCATGAAGAGTCTGATAAATCTCCTGCTGCAAGTGGCTGCAGTCTGCCTTCTTCAACCTGTAATTAAACACCATGGAGGCCGAAGTCCGACGCTAACATAATAATATACCCATATTAGTACTGTATATTAAACTAAACATTGGAAATATTATAAAATAGACCAGAGGGTATAATCCTTAGTAGGTATTAATGACTGCCAGAAAACTCTTAGCAATATTAACACTATCTAGAGTAAAACACTATTCCTGATTTAGCATCTTCCGAAGTCATTAAAAATATAAAAGTTACCATATCAGCATATTCCCTACATATTCCCAGTGAAATTGCAGGAAATGATGTGGAAGCAAAGAACTACCTGAGCTTGCATCCAGATATTGCATTCACTCCAAACTGTACCTCATGTCTGTTAACAGAGCAACTTCCATTACCCTGGCTCCGTAAGAGGGTCATCCAAAGTGGAAAAGTGATGATCAAGGACATCATAACAGAAAAAAAAAGGAGGCAGCATTGTAAAATGTATGTTCTCATTCTCCCTTAATGCTATTTATTTTGTATTACTATCATAATGTGCAAGTCACAAATTTGTTTTTTTCTCAAAAAATCACAGAGAGACAACTACGATTCCAAAAATGATTAACCATATATTAGTATATAAGTACCTCATTAAAACGAACAAAAAATTTCTCACCTTTGGCTAGTCTAACATAAATTTGAAAGCCTTTGCCACTTTTCTCATTAGGTTGCAACAGGCCACCCAGCTCTAAAAAGGATACTGAATAACTTACATCACCAGTCAGAGCCAAGAGTGGCTTCCCAACTATATAGCCAGGATTCCCACTTCTAGGACTGGTGATAGAAGCAGCTGTGCTCTGTTGAAAAGCCTGCAGAAAGAGTGAAGAGAAGTCAATTACGGAGGTAAGCATGCTTTCCCACCTCCTACTGCTTGGCTTCACCATACCCTTCCTTAAGGCAACGCAATGCAATAAGTGAGCTACACTGAACGCTCTGGCTTCTTTCCACAGTATAGCATTTTGCTTCTTTCACTTTTCTTAACTCACTAAAATAAATCCTTCATGATCTGAATATTGAAATTCACAATATGCTGCTTTTACCAAGGATTACAACCAAGAATCTACTAAGGATCCCTTAACCCTGTTTCTCAAAAATTACTAGCAATTTAGCAATAATAACACAGCCTGGTTAAAATCTGAAGATTTTAAATGTAATTTAAAAAATACATATTTTAATTAACTATAGATGTTCCAGAGATGAGTTCTGAGAGACACAGTAGTTGGTTGATCACCTGAGGGTAGAGTTGAGAAAATCCATGCTGGGTTCAAAAAGAGGAAAGAAGTAGCAGAAAGCCAAATGGCAGTGATTAAGACTGAACACTCAGATTAAGTGGGAAATGAATAAAATGCTGACTGCCCAGAAATATGAGAAAAGCTAGTTAAAGAATTTTTGTAGGTGTTGGCTGAATTTATGATTCAAAAAGACTATAAAAAAAGTTTTGATTTGAGATTGAAGTCCTGCTTTGTTGGGGGCCAGATAGAGAATTGGAGAAAATGTTAATGAGTAAACACTTGTAGAATAACTACAACTTGTAGTAAAACTATGGAATATTAAATGTTGAGGCCTCAATCGACAGAACGAACTAGGCTTCATATTCTTATTCTATTTCACATGTATTAGAAAAGCAAAGGAACTATTTCTAACCCGATATGTCTTCCCCTCTAAATCCCCTATGAGAAAAGGGCCCTAACCCTGAAATGAAGGATGAAGTGTTGCTGTAAGGAAGCGCCTGGCTCAACAGTCAGGTTGGTTTGTCCCAAACTGACAGAAACCTTCTGGATTCCAAAAGTCCCATTGGTCTCTATCTCATAGGTGACCTGAAATGAAAAAAGAATCAATTAATAAAAAATAGTTATTGGGTCAAATATGTTCAGGACAGAAAATTTTCTGTCTTCAAGGGTGTTTTTATAACTAAATGAGGTAGACTGAAACAGTAATGTTAAAAATGCCAAACACAAATACTATGAAAGATAAAGATGATTTCATATTATATTTGTATATGAAAAAGAAACTGGATAGAGCCCTTTAAAAGGGTTTATGGGTAGGTGAGTTTATGGTAGGAATTGAAAGGGTAGAAAAAATAAGTTGATTACGGGCAGAGGAGGGCAAGCAGAAACAGGCAGAGGTGAGCATGAAACAGAAATCTGATTTACTTGGCTCTCACAATATTTCAGAATAAAGATAGTTGCTGGGGATACAACAATTGAAAGTAACCTTAAATTTCTGAGCATAGTCTTTAAGAAGATGCCTTAAGAAAATGCTTACTTTTTTAGCTTAGATTGTTTAGAGAACAGAGGAATAGAAGTTGATTAATCTACTTCAGACTTTCAGATGATACTGACTGTGTCAAGAGAAGATGTGGTCAGTCAGTAAGAATCAGTAACAGACTGCAGGCGGGCAACGGAAGAGGTGTCAGAAATAATTTTAATGTCCTGGACCTGAAATACTGGAGGATGTGGTGATGGAAATAACTGAAACGTGGTAGGGAGGATAACGGGCTCAATTATTGACAAGTTTAATTTCAAAATTGTTGGGAATTGTTGAAATTCACAGTATGCTACTTTTAACAAGGATTACAACCAAGAATCTACCAATGCAACAAGTTTGCATTCCCAACATTGTTAGAGAATGCAGACAAAATTCAGTGGGGTCAGTCTGACACTTAATGGAAGATGAGGCACCTCTGGCAGTGTTGATCAACATACATCAGTCCAGAATCTGAGGTCAGTATCCCTACCTGGGAAACTACATTCTGACAAGTGTTTCCAGCCAACAGAGGAGCATTAGCCTGTGAGGTAAGTATTACAGGAACCTGGAACTAGCAATGAAAAGAAGCAAACAGTTAACTAAAACTGAAGGCGGCATTTTGTCTTGTATCTATTAATAGATATCATGCTAAGGTAAGTATTTTTCCTTCCCCTTGACCACCCTCTTTCTCTCTTCTTCCATCACCAGCCAACAACTTAAATTCAAAAGTCTTTCTAAACCAGCACTTCTTAAAACTTATTTCTCAGAACACTAGTTCTATTAAATATAAAACAAGGGTTCCATAGTCAAATAATTGTGAGAAATACTATATTCAGTATTCCCCTTAAAGATTAATAAGGCCCTCTAGCAAATTAAAGACTTCAGGTGGGGTGAGATGGCTCATGCCTGTAATCCCAATACTTTGGGAAGCCAAGTCAGGAGAATTGTTTGAGGCCAGCACTTCAAGACCAGTCTGGACAACATAGCGAGATCCCCATCTCTACAAAATAGTAAAACATTAGCTGGGCGTGGTGGCACATGTCTACAGTCCCAGCTACTTGGGAGGCTGAGGTAGAAGGATTAGCTGAGCCCAGGAGGTTTAGGCTGCAGTGAACCGTGACCGTGCCACTGCACTTCAGCCTGGGTGACAGAGCAAGACCCTGTCTCTAAAAAAAATTAAGAAGCCCACTCTAAATATAGTTTATTTAACCCAATGTTTACAAACCTATCTAACACTTTATGGATCGTGGTTTCATATGAGGCTATTAATTGTATAGAACGTACTTGCAAAAGCACCATTTTAGGTCTACTTAATTGTTTGCTATATCACGCTTACATTTATCTTTCAATAGTACAACTTAGACTAAAATTGCCTCAGATGCAGAGGAGCCAAATATTCTTTTTGCTTTTTCGTGGTACAACAGCATCATACCTCCATATTCTGTGGATCAGTCACGCCTCTTGGAACCTAGGAGAACAGCAGGGACATGAGTGTGCATCTACCTTACCAAAAATCACCAGGAGCTTATGGTTTCACACTACTAACAATAGACTTTGGTTTTTTTAGGGGGAGGGGAGAAGTCAAAATATTAGAATGATTTACTTCCTCTATTCCACCTGACTCTTCTTTACACTAAAATGCCAGGAAGTGGAGCCAGACAGGAGGGTATAGACTGTGAAGCCTGTCTACTCTGACAGAGCTCTACTGAATAGCAAAAGCAAGAAGTTTGGTGAAATAGGTGTTTTCCCCCTTCCACCCGCGCAAGCCGATCCCATTAGTGAGAAGGGTGATGATCTCTTATCCTGGATATATATCCCCAGTTATTGCATTTGTCTTCAGATATGGTTTCCAGGCCCTCTGTCTTTTACATGGCTCCTGGGGATTCTGACTTCTAGTTCAATGCTCTTTCCACAACCCACAACAGTGAGAAGCGTGTTCGCTTCAACTTCATCGTAGTGACAGTGTAGGGAGAGAAAGGACACCTACCTTTAAGACTGTGAAGTTATAGTAAGAGGCAGCATTGAGGGCTGAATCCAAGGTACAGCTACTAGCCAGGTTCTTGAAAAAACGAGTGCAAGTTGTGCTTTTACTCTCTAGGAAACCTTAAACACAAATAGTTAACAGAGTGGTACATGAGAAAGCCTATTTTAAACTGAATGAAAAGGTTGGTACTTTTGCTCTGGATTCACCTGCAGGATTGCTTTCAGCACAGAGTCCCGCAGCTCCACCTCCTGCAGGTTGTCTCAGCAAGCTTATTACAGACCACTTGGGGAAGTAAGTAAGAATGGGGTCCCCAGCCTGAATAAAATATAAAAGAAAATTGGTTCATAGTGAGACTGGACTAGACGACAACAGAAAAGAAAGAGTAGAAACAAGGTTAACTCAAGGGCATGATTACATGGACAGTACTGCCCTCCAAAGAGCTGACAATGGTTTAGCTAGCTGCAGGGTAATGCTGCAAAGATACCCTGTCAGCTGTCTGCTATGAGAGTGAAAACCAAACCAAACAATCCCATCCCCTTCCCCAGGCTCACCCTGTAGAAAGATGGTGGTGATTGAGTTTGGAATGTTGAAGTGAATGATTCGCCTCCAAACTCTGCAGCCAGGGCCTGGAAGTTGGTTGCATTGACCTTTTGAAGCTTCTGGAAATAGTTTAATTTTGCTAAAATGTTTTTTAAAAGAAAAGGGAAGTTTAGATAAAAGAAAAATATGCCAAGTAACTAATTTTAAAAAATATTTTAATTGAAGCATAATATACAGGGTACAAATCTTAAGTGCAAACTCAAAGAATTTTTACAAATTTATATACTTACATTACCACTACTTAGATCAAGTTACAGAATATTTCCCCAGAAGGCTCCCAATCAATACTCCATCTCCAGAAATAACAATTCTGATTTCCATCACTTCTTAATTTATTCACAAACTACTAACTGAATTATTGTTTTAATAGGAAGATCTGAGATAAGAATATGGTCAATGAATGCCAGTCAGTTTCAAGTCACTGATGGCCAAGAATGTGTATGATCAGCAATTTGTGATGAAAATAGGAAGCTCAGCCAGGCGTGGTGGCTCAGGCCTGTAATCCCAGCACTTAGGGAGACCGAGGCGGGTGGATCACCTGAGGTCAGAAGTTTGAGACCAGCCTGGCCAACATGGTGAAACCCGTCTCTACTAAAAATACAAAAAATTAGCCAGGCATGGTGGCAGGCACCTGTAATCAGAAGAATCGCTTGAACCTGGGAGGCAGAGGTTGCAGTGAGCCGAGGTCACACCACTGCACTCTAGCCTGGGCAATAAGAGCGAAACTCCATCTCAAAAAAAAAAAGAAAAGAAAATAGGAAGCTCGATAATGCTCATGTCTGCCCCATATCAAATGAGTCTCTAACAGAATCGCACTATTTCCATAGGAACATGGAACAATTAGAGACAATTATGACAATTATTTGATCTGTCCTTCCCAAATCTTCCTGTTTCCTCTAAACTTCAACTGACCAGTCCTAACAATGTTACTATCTCTCAAGTTAATAGATTTGTTGCATTTTATTGCTTAAGCCTTATAATTCCTCCATTCAAGATTTTAGATACTTAAAAAGGGTATTTTCTGGAACAATTCTATAATTTCTATGATAGCAATGTATAAATCTACCCAAACTCCTGCAGTCTTCTCTTTATGGCACTTTAGAACCAGTAGAGAGATGTAGGAAAAGGACTGTGATGCTGTCCCCTGCCCAGAGGATGGCAGGTGATTGACAACACTCTGTCTGCTTTACTACTCAGGTGCTAAATTGAAAAAAGAACATTGGGAAACATGCCCCTTGCCAGTTTCATTCTTCATATAATTAATGGTCATTTGTACAGAGTAAAAGAGGTTACAATACTTGCATCATTGAAAGCAAATGAGGATTCCACGTTAAATGAACCTGACATTTATCCTCTGTGATAATGGATAACATCTTAATTATCTGACTTTTCAGCTCCTGAAAAGTCAGCATGAATGTAGCTCTCAATTCTGGGGCCTTTCAGACTACTCACTCTCCATGCATCTCCTAGATCCTTCTTATTCAAAGTGGGGTGCACACATTAGTAGCTCAGGGATCATCTGGGAGCTTCTCAGAAATGCAGACTCTCAGGCCACTCCCCAGACCTGAATCAAAATCTTCATGTTAACAAGATCTCCAGGTAATGTGTATGCATATTAGAATCTGAAAAGCATTGCTCTGAAACAGGTGATGCTGATGCTGCTGGTCTATGGGCCACTTTCCACCTCTGATCTGAAATCTTCAAACCCTAACGCTTCCAAGAGCTATTTTAACATTTCCTTCAGAACTCATACCCTGAAAACCACATGGAAGAGATATTTGCCTCATGTAAAATGCAGTTATTTGTATCTTTATAAATGAAATAAAAGTTAAAGTTAAGCTAAGAAAGAAGGTGAACTGAGATGGCAAAATATCTATCTAGCTATTTTTTCATGGCTTAAATGAATAAGAGAAAGTTAACATTTTATCTCTCACTTCAGTGCAAAGATATTGGCAGTAGTGATGATAAATATAGGCTAAGTAGAATTTTTGCCTAAAATTTCTACCATCATAGATGATATATTACACCTAAAAGAGCTTAAAGGTATTTAGATTTCTATTACAATTTCAGATGTCAAAGGAAACCTACAGACCATCTGACCTAATCCCATGAGGAAATTTCGATCCTCAGAGGTAAAAGAGTAGCAAAAAGCCAGAGCGCCAGCTTGCAGAGCCGAGAGTAGACTGCAGACTCCTATTCCTGGTGTTTTTCCCCACTCCAGTATGCTGCACAGACTTTGACTAAAAACATAATTTACTGATGATCATTATCAGTAGATACTTTTTTTAAAATTTTATTTTATTTTGGAGACAGGATCTCACTCTGTTGCCCTGGCTGCAGTACAGTAGCATGATCACAGCTCACTGCAGCCTCGAACTCCTGGGCTCAAGCAATCCTCCCACCTCAGCCTCCCAAGTAGCTGGTACTACAGGCATGCGCCACCACACCCAGCTAATTTTACTATGTTTTGTAAAGACTGGGTCTCGCTATGTTGCCAGTATTGGTCTCGAACTCCTGGGCTCATGCAGTCCTCCTGCCCTGGCCTTCCAAAGTGCTGGGGTTACAGGACGAGCCACCAGGCCTGGCTGTACCAATAGATACTAAGCACCATGGGGAAACAAAGATATGGTCCATCCTTTCATAGTGTTGACAATTTACCTGGAAAGATACGATGTTTACATAAACTAATAACAATATAAGAAATCCTATAGGTTCTAAGAGGGTGACTCAAACAAAATGCTTTAGAACTTCTGAGGATGGGCTTACTTCCAATAGATGAGCAAGAAAACACTCATGGAAAATACAGGTATTTCAAAATGCAGAAAGAAAAAGGAACTATAGAGTCAGAAAGAAAAGCAAATACAAACTTGGGAAAAATACAGGGCATATCTTGAGGACGAGTAGATGAGTTCGGCCAAAGCAGAGGGTCAAGTAGAGAGTAATGCTAAAAGAGCCAGGAACACTAAGTTGGATCAAATAGGAGATTTGACTGGCCAGCTAAGAAGTTGGATGTTATTTTACGGGAAGTGGGAAGTAATGGAGGTTTCTGAGTAAGGAAGCAACATAATGCAAAGTTATAGAAAGATTAATCTAGTGAAGTGATTCTCCATAGCTGTGTATACTGTGTGTATATGCTATGTGTATATATGTGAGGAAGGTGGGCAAATAATCAGAACCAAAGGGAAACTTTCGTCTTTTTCAGACTAAACATGAATGTACACCCCAGCCTCATTCAGGGAAAAGTTCATTGATGTAATGAACCATAATTACTACTGGAAGTGGCCATATTCCTCCCTCAGGTGGTGTTGGTTAAAGAAAGTTCAGATCCACTGATCCCGAAGGAGTGTGCAGGATGGTGTGGGAGGCAGGAGTGGGGATCAAAAGCAGGGAGCCCCAGGTAGGTGCCATTGCAATAACCCTGGAGCATGATTATAAGGCTGGATTTAAAAGGCAGTAAAATGTTTGGAAAAGAAGAGACAACATTACCTTTTTTTGAGACAGACTCTCGCTCTGTCACCCAGGCTGGAGTGCAGTGGTGCAATCTCAGCTCACTGCAAGCTCCGCCTGCCTCCCAGGCTCACATCTCCTGCCTCAGCCTCCCAACTAGCTGAGATTACAGGTGCCCACTACCATGCCTGGATAATTTTTTGTATTTTTAGTAGAGACAGGGTTTCACCATGTTGGTCAGGCTGGTCTCAAACTCCTGACCTCAAGTGATCTGCCCACCTCGGCCTCCCAAAGTGCTGAGATTACAGGCGTGAGCCACTGCGCCAGGCCACAACCTTATCTTAAAATGAAGTATTCACCTTGTTCCCTTTACCCTATTACGATCTAAATAACCACAAGGCTCCTGATAACTGCTTTCAAATTCAAGGCCCCCCAAACCAAAAATTGGTTGTTTTCTGAGACAAATATAGTTTTGCAAATCTTATTAACAGTCAGATGAAATCAGGATGAGGTGACTTCCACGATGCAAGAGACCTTTAAATCCATTTTGTGCAGGAACATTATTTTGCTTCATAGACATTTTAAAAAGATAGATTAGCTTAACATCTTTAGAAATGTTATAGCCATCACCAGCAAATTTTTAAGTCCACTCACCATCCCCAAAAATAATCTCAAATCTTTATTGTACTCTACAGTTGTAGAGCACTTTCGTATACAAAGCCAATGATACTATTTCTCACTTTGTAGTTGAAGAAACGGGCCTAGAAATGCTAAGGGATTTGCCCAAGTCTGTGTAGCTGGTAAGGAAATGGCAGGACTGAGATCCTAATCCAATGCTCCTCCTACACTGTTGCCTCATGAAATGAAAATAAGGCTGGCATAGACTCATTTGTCAAAGATATTCATTCAAACATTATTTGGTGCTTACTATGTGTTAGGCACTGGGGATTCAGTTAGTACCCTCATGGAGATTGTAGTAAGTGGGGGATATAGTCTATCTGTGATTATCTGAGTTAAGAGGAATGATTAGAAGGATTGAAATTAAAGCTATTTATGAGTTTTCTGATCCGCAGCCAATAGAACATAAAAAGTTGCAAATGTGGCTGGTTCGTGGTGGCTCACACCTGTAATCCCAGCACTTTGGGAGGTTGAGGCGGGTGGGTCACGAGGTCAAGAGATCAAGACCATCCTGGCGAACACTGCGAAACTCTGTCTCTACTAAAAATACAAAATTTAGCTGGTCCTGGCACGCGCCTGTAGTTCCAGCTACTCGGGAGGCTGAGGCAGGAGAATCACTTGAACCTCGGAGGTGGAGGCTGCAGTGAGCTCAGATCTTGCCACTGCACTCCAGCCTGATGACAGAGGGAGGCTCGGTCTCAAAAAAAAAGAAAAAAAAGAAAAAAGAAAAAAAAAGCAAATGTATTCAGTAATAAGAAAGAAAAGGCAGAAAGGGGTAGAGATTCAAAGGACAAAAGAAAAAAAAGTTTAAAAAAGAAAGAAATGGAAAAAAAGGCCAGAATAAAAGCCAATTCTCAATAAATGTTAGACCAAGCTTGTCCAACCTGCGACCCACCAGCCGCATGCAGCCCAGGACGGCTCTGAATGCAGCCCAACAACACAAATTCATAAACTTTCTTAAAACACTAAGAGTTTTTTTGCTGTTTTTTTTTTTTTAAACTCATCAGCTATTGTTAGTGTATTTTACGTGTGACCCAAGACGATTCTTCCGATGTGGCCCAGGGAAGACAAATGATAACACTCCTGTGTTAGCAAATGAGAACAGCCAACATGTTTCTACTCACAGTTGTTCACATGTACACAAAACTGCCTGATTCCATTAGAATCCATGAAAACTCTTGAAGGAAATGGGGAATTACTCCTGAAGATAAGAGAGTTGTCTACACAAACCCAGCTTGAAGACCTGTGAGGAAAGAGGAAGGAGAAGATATATTTAGAAGGGGCGGGTGCCCCTTCTAGAAGAGTGCCCTAGCAATATCGGCCAGACGCCAAAGAGAGGACTCCTTGGACACCTATAGGACGACACGAAGGTCTTATTCTACTGGCCAGCCCTGCTCTAGAGAATCAGAAAAGGCAGTTCCTAGGAAAAACCAAGGGAATGTCCTAGGAGTGGAAGCAGGGGCAGGAGGCATAAAGCCTAACTCTTCTTACATCCAAATGTTACCCATTGTAGGCTCCAATCCCTTTAGGATTCCATCTGAGCAACGAAGCTCACCTTACACTGCCAGGAAGGCAGAAGGAGAAGACTGTCCTCGGATGGAGAAGATAGCAGTCCCTGTCGCAGCAGCAATTTATATCGCAGGCGCCAGGAGTCAAGTCACAGACACAGATCGGTAAGACTATGAAAGGACAACACAGACTGAGTGGGATGAGGATCCCCAAACTCTCCCAGGTGCTCACCCTCCTTCCGACAGCCCCACTCCTGCTTTGTGGCAGTTCAACTTTGCTCACAGAATTTTAGATCTCACAAGTAAGTTTCCACCCCCACAACGTTTTCCCTCACCTGGGAAGAGGTCCACAGTCCTATTCCCAGGCGCCGAGGGAGTCACGAGAGTAGGGACCACTGTAGAGATCCCAGGCATTGCTGGGCGAGTTGCAGTCGCCTCTGAAGAGGACTGGAGGGTTCCGCCAACCGTTCCTGGCTGCAGGTCCAAAGACGTGGGCACTGCCTCTGATGGGGAGGAAGAGGGCTGGGGCCGGACGCCATCGGGGAACATCAGGAGGAACACTTGCAGGAGCGCCAGCTGTGGGGTGCGCATGGGGCAGTCAAGGCCTGCAGGTCCGACGTAAGCCACCGCGGTATCCAGACGCGTTGCCAGAGCGTGGGTGGGAGGAGTCGCATAGCGTCTGACGACATCCGCGTGCCTCTTCTCATTGGCTCATGAGAAGAATGAGAGCTCTTCAGCCAATCGAAAGTGGGGTTGTTACAGCTCTTTCAGTGTCCTTCGGTCTGCGCCCTCCTCCTTAACGTGGGCCGGGGCTTGCCTTCGTTGCCTGGCAACCGCCAGTGGAGCAGGAGCCCTTGCGCCTTCTCTCCGCTAGGTGGCGGTAGGAGTTCGGCGGACGGACAGGTTCCGCGCCCACTTCGCGGCCCAGAGGACTGAGCCCGGCCTCAGTGCAAGGAAATCCCAGAGGCCAGAACTAGAATTGCAAATTTTTTTTTTCACCCCGGATTCCAATGGTGAGAAACCCTTTCTATGGAAGAATAATGTTCTCAGGTGGGGGAAACACACCTAAGGTCACATACCTTAAAAAACAGTCTCCGCTAAATATGGCTTTTTTATTTTTTTGAAAACACATTAGAAATAATGTTCATTCAGCTCCTTACATTTTAACATTGAGAAATTTTAAAAACCCTAAATAAATGCATCAAATCATTAAAGATGGACTGCATGTTTTTGTTAGAAAAAGTAGTGAGAGAAAAATAAGCAAAAAGGATAGGAAAAATGTGAGAAAATAGGGAGAGAAAGAATAAAAAAAAAGAAACATTGTCTAGGACGTGAGAAAATAAGATGGAGGAATGGAAATAGAAGATTTTTTTTCTGTGTTAATGGCAAAATTTTTTAAACCTCTCTAAGAGGTGTTTGTTCTTCCCAGGAATGGCGTGCCTCTTCTGATTCCCCACAGCAGTGCGGGCCATATGACTTTCCTGCAGCATTGGAAATGTACCGTAGCTGCACTGTCCAGCATGGTAGTCACCGGCCTTCATCTGCTCGCGCACTTGCTGCGCCTTAAAACTGTGGCTAACGTGTGACTTGAGCGAGCTGAGCTTTTTTCCTCTTTTTTTTTTCTTTTTGAGACGGACGGTTTCGCTCTGTCCCACCCCAGGCTGGTGTGCGAGTGGTGTGATCTCACGCTCACCTGCAACACTCTGCCTCCAGGATTCAGCGTGACTCCTGTATTCAGCCTCCACGAGTAGCTGGGATCTGACAGGCACATGCACCACTGCCCGGCTAACCCTATATTTCTATCTTACTCTCTATTTATTTTCTTATTTATTATTTTATTTTAGAAGAGATGGGTTTCACCATGTTGTCCCAGCGCTGGCTCTTTGAACTCCTGACCTCAAGTGATCCGTCGCTTCTTGCCTCCCAAAGTGCTGGGATTACAAGTGTGAGGTCGCTGTGCTTGGCCTGAATTTTTATTTTTCTACAATTCGTAATTATTCAAAAGTTTCAACCACCACAAGGGTCGTAAGTAGCTACCAATATGCTACCAAGCTCGGGAACCCGGTACGATGGCATCAAAATCTTGCTCTCCTACGAACAGTGTTTTCTCCCGCTGGCTCCACAGTTCTGATATGTGGTTACTTTTGCGATATTTACGCTTTTTAGTACTCACTACAATCTCACATCTGTTACCAGAGTTATCTAAAATCTAGTACACTTACGCTAAAACTCCTCGCGTCAACCTACTCCCTTTACAAGTGAACTCACTTAAACTCAGGTAAGTTTTCAGGACTTTGACTTTACCTTGCCATCCTTAACAAGATCTTTATTTTTTCACTGTTATTGAAGTCAGCTAGCTAAATGTATCTCTGTGTTATAAATATTTTCAAATATATTTTTATGTTGTTGTGTGATAGACAGCTATGGGAGATATGTGTTTGGTCTTAAAACATTTATTTACCTTAGTAGTATTTTCTATAGGAAAAGGCCAAGTTCATATTATTAAGATTATATGATCATATGTATATACTAGCATGTAAATTCCAAAAAACAGGGAGTTTTGTTTATTTTGTTCATTGAAATATCCCCATGCCTAGAACAGTGTCTGGGACATGTTAGATGTGCATTAAATATTTTAAAAATATATTAAAAATTGTTTTGTTGAACTCCTTAGAATTAATCCTTAGGAATATTTTTAGTTTATTTTATTTGAGGATTGTATTTCTTTCTATAAAATTTCTTCTTTTTGCAACCAATTTACCATGTAATGATCTTTCTATAAAATTTCCATTGTACATCTGATCAGAGACTATTTTAGATTTCAAAGTTTGGAATTTAAATGGCAACTCTCAAACAGTGTTAAATTATTTCTGAATTTATTAGCATTGGCAAAACATTGTTGGTTGAAGTAATTTTAGGGATGAGTGATAAGCAAATAATGTTTCAGGATCCTTTTGAGTTGCTTTTTCTTATTTTTGAATTTTAACACAACTTTTTTTTAGAAAAGTTAATTTTTTTTCTATTTTGTTATAGATAAGCAAAAAGATTATTTGAATTGCTGTTTTTTAAACTTGCTTTATTTATTGATTTAATTAATTAATTTACTTATTTATTTGAGATAGTCTTGCCCTGTCACCCAGGCTGGAGTGCAGTGGCACCATCTCAGCTCACTGCAACCTCCACCTCCCAGGTTCAAGCAATTTTCCTGCCTCGGTCTCCCTAGTAGCTGGGACTACACGTGTACCCACCACACCCAGCTAATTTTTGCATTTTTAGTAGAGACAGAGTTTTACCATGTTGGCCAGGCTGGTCTCAAACCCCTCACCTCAAGTGATCTGCCTGCCTTGGCCTCCCGAAGTGTTGGGATTACAGGCATGAGCCATTGTGCCTGGCATGTATTGCTGTTTTGTATTTGTAAGAATCTCTGTAATATAGAACTCTCAATACTTTTGAGATCCAGTATTAAAATCTGAAAGATAATTTTGTGGATGAAGAATGAAATTTATTCACATGTGTCATGCAGATGTCAGTTGTAGTATGGGCACCAAGTCTTAAATTGAGATCATATGACATAATCTCAGAAGCAGAGATTTCCAAATTAGATCATATGATACTAGCAGTTGTCTGTGTTTGGGATTAAAAGAGTTGAATATGTAATTGGAAATTTAGCAAGGAGATTGTATTGACATGGCAGACAACAAATTCTATCCTTTTCCCACTTCTCTTCCCTTTTCCAAAGATCTCTGAAAATTACAGAAAACTTAGATACACACACACTTGTGCATACATGAACATGCCCAGAATTTAAATACATGAAGGTGTGCTCTCATGGGCCAGACATTGTAAGAATACTTGAAAAATAGAAGGCACATGGGATTGAATTGAAGGTGAACAAATAACAGTTGCATAATAAAGGCCTTATTCAGAAATGGAAGTGACTCTTGGAGTGCTGTAAGCACACAGAAAGAAGCTATTGGTTATCAATAGTGGCCCTTGGACAATTCTATGGGTTATCGATTGAAGTATAACTGTAGGAAGAGCCAGGTCAGCCTCTCAACCTTATCCCTACTTGTGCTTGCAGTGGATAGCAGAAGAATTTTCCCCAAAAGGTGGTGGCGGGGGTGGCAAGAGGCAGTCCATGTACACTTTTACTGAAAAGGCAGGACAGTGCCCTGGATGGCTTCTGACATTTAGGAGGAAGAGAGAGGCCCCACAAGTTGAGACTGGTCCTAGCCCACTGCTAGGTTTGCATGTCTCCTCCAAAATTCATTTCAAAACTTAATCCCCAATGTGTAGTATTGAGTGGTGGGACCTTTAAGAGGTGATAGGTCATGAGGTCTCTGCCTTCATGAATGGACTAATCCATTCATGGGTTAATGGATTAGTGTGTTGTCATGAGAGAGGAAGTGGTGGCTTTACAAGAAAAGGAAGAGAGACCTGAGTTAGCAAGTTAACACGCTCAGCTTCCTCACCATGTGATGCCCTGTGCCGCCTTGGGATGCTGCAGAGAGTTCCCAGCAGCAAGAAGGTTCTCATGAGATGCCCCCTTGACCTTGGGCTTCCCGGCCTCCACAACTGTAAGAAATGAATTCCTTTTCTTTATAACTTATCCTATTTCAGGCATTCTGTTATAAGCAACAGAAAATGAACGAAAACAGAAAATTGGCACCAAGAAGTGGGATTTTGCTGATGACGAATACCTGAAAATGGGGAAGCAGCTTTGGAACTAGGTAATGAGCGGGGGCTGGAAGAGTTTGGAGGAGCAGGCTATAAAGTGACTGTATTTCAGTGAATGCGATATCAAGGGTGATTCTAGTGAGACTCAGAAAACAAAAAGACAAGGGAACATTTGGAACTTCTTAGAGATTTGTTTTTTGTTTTGTTTTGTTTTGTTTTGTTTTTTGAGACTCTGTCGCCCAGGCTGGAGTGCAGTGGCGCAATCTTGGCTCACTGCAAGCTCCACCTCCTGGGTTCACACCATTCTCCTGCCTCAGCCTCCCGAGTAGCTGGGACTACAGGCACCCGCCAGCACACTTGGCTAATTTTTTCATATTTTTAGTAGAGGCAGGGTTTCACTGTGTTAGTCAGGATGGTCTCAGTCTCCTGACCTCGTGATCCACCTACCTTGGCCTCCCAAAGTGCTGGGATTACAGGCGTGAGCCACTACACCCCGCCAGGATTTGTTAAGTGATTGTAACCAGAATACAGATAGAAATATGGACAGTAAAGGCCATTCTGCTGAGATTTGAGATGGAACTGAGGAAGGTGATATTGGAAACTGGAGTAAAGGCCATCCTTGTTATAAATTGGCAAAGAACTTGGCTGAACTGTGTCTATGCCTGAGGGCGTTGTGGAAAGCCAAACTTGAGATTAATGAACTAGGGTATCTGGCAAAAGAAATTCCTAAGCCAAATGTAGAAGGAGCTACATGATTACATTTGACAGCTTATGCTGATATTCAGGAGCAAAGAAATAATTTAAAGGTAGAATTTATCATGAAAAGGGAAGCAGAGTGGAAGGATTTGGATAACTCTCAGCCTGAGCATGCAAAGAGTTAAAAAGCATTTTTAGCAGAGGAAACCAAGGGTGCAGCCCAGTGACTATTTGCTAAAGAGATTAGTTTGGATAAAAAGGAGACAGGTGCCATTCCTTTAGACGAGGGAAGAAAGATCCCAAAGGCATTTCGAAGATCTTAGAGGGTGCCCCTACTATCACAGGCCCAGAGGCATAGGAGGACAGAATAGTTTCAGAGGACAGGTTAGGGTACACTCCACGGGCTCACTGCCCAAGGCCACCACAAGGGAGTCCCCACCAGCAAGATGGCTCTCACCAGAT